CTGCTACCTCTTATGGAACTCCATCATTTAATGTAAATACTATTTACTGTAATTACTAAAACTTTTATAGAATATTTTTTATAAACATATAAATGTATTTGTTTTAAATTTTTGTTTGTAGCACGGTGACATTGCTCCTCAACTACATCATGTTGAGCATCAGTTTGTTAATCAAGGTATAATAAACTTTTATTAGCAAAATAATAAATTGACAATAAAATAATAATATCCTACGTAGAGATGGTTAGGATTTTAATGTGGTAGAGTAAGGTAGAATTCTAATGTAAATTATATTTAAAAATGATAAAAGAGAATGGATTTTAAAAATAGAAAGTTCTGAGGAATAGCTTAATTCCTAGGCAATTTAAAAATATCTCTAATAAACAATCATTTATTAAATTACTCTAAATAAAAGAAAAATATTTTATTAATTGCAGTTCCAGCTACGTTAGTTCAAGCTCAATCTAACATTGCTACCCCCGTTGCAGTTCCGCATACCACATATGGGGTTCAACATCAACAGCAACAAGTTCATTCTTTACAGCATGAGATGCAATTGAATAATGAACAAGTACAGCATTTTCAACATCACAGTGAGCAAATCCATCAACCAGCTTCATTTTATGGTGCACCTGTCTCGCAACAACAACATTATACCAATGCGCAATTAGTCCACCAGTTTGGGCCCACAGAAGTTCAAAGCAGTCAGCAAGAACAACATCATCAACAGATTCAACAGGTCCATCAGGTGCATCAACCAATGACAGTACATGGTTTCCCCGTACCTCAGCAACACGAACATGTACAAGCAGTTCAACAATTTACCCCAATTGTAGCCCAAAGTAACCAGCAACAACATTACGAACAGTTTCAACACATCCCTCACCAGGCGCAGCAAAGCCAGCAACCTTCCCTAATTTATGGAAATCCCCTTCAGGGCAATCAGCAACAAGTCAGTCATGCACATAGTGCATCAATAGATAATGAGAAGCTTGTTTTTGAAGCTCCTATTCAGTCTATCGAGGTATCCCAGAGTCACTTGGTTGAGAATATTCCAACTCCATCATCTTCTGTCAATGTCGACAACGATACAGTAACTATTAGCGCTGTAGAAGCCAAGGAATCCGTTTTTGGGGGTTACAAATATACCCAGCCTACTTCTTCTAATGGTGGCTATGTATATTAAATATGTACAATTTATAATAGTGTGAGTGAATAGAAATAATATCGAAATGAGCTGAAAGATGAATAGTTTTACAACAAAATGTCATACTGGTAAATTTATACTCCAAAGATATGTCTTTTAAGAACGCATATAAAAATATGCATAATTGTAATCCAAATATCCATGTTTTTAATGAGGAACATAACCAGGTGAACAGTCTTTATTATCTATGTAAAAACTGAATGCTTTTTTTAAGTAAATAAATTTTTTTATTGAAATATGAATTCTTTTTAATTTATTTTTACTATCATCCAGAAATATCATTTAGAAAACATATTAACATTTTTGTATATTTTTTTTCACCACAATTGACATTTTTTAATAGGATTCATATTTGAACCGATAGGACAATTCCAAGCTTTACTAAAGTGTTTCGAATTTCTTAAAACCATCTTTAATCTGATGTTACCTGGACAATGAGGATCTTGTAGCATCCATTTTAAATCGTGATAGGTAAATGATTCACACCACATCTAAAAATAAAATTAAAGTAATGTTATCAAATTAATAGAATTATTTATGTTACTTGTGATACCTTGTAAATTTTTAAACAACTTCAATAATATTCTATAAGATTACTTAAAATCTATGATATTTGAATATAATTCCTTATTAGGTATTAAATTAATTAAAACTTTACTCATAGACAGATAAAATATTAAAACATATTTTATCATTTTTAATTTTATTATTTATAAATTGAATATATCGTTTTTTAAATATAATTTAAAATAAAATCTAAAAAATTGTGTTTAATTCCAGTTGACATGATTCTAGTACTTTAATATTAATATTATATAAAAAAAAACAATTAATTACATGTGCATAGCTCAAAAATAGAAGCTGATCATGCGTAAGATGAGTGAATCCTGGAAGTAGAGATTCTTTTTTGTGTTTGGTTTTCCATATTTGATATGCATGATATGCTTCTCTTAGTCCACCATTGTCTGCAATATTTTCATCTAAAGTTAGTTGACCATCAATGTATTTATTAACCTAAATACAAAACATACAATATTATTAATGAATAATGATGTATAATATAAAACATTCTTTTATAGTATTCCAAGCAAGAAGGATAATACATATTAGTTTTATTATAAAGATAATTAAAAATTAAAGTTCAGTTTAGCTTAGAACGTATAATCATATAATAATTTTTCTAATTATTTATGATAAAATACAAAGACGCAAATATTATTATATAATTCGACAAAATAAATTATTGTAAATTAATAAATAAATAAATAAATCAATAAATAAATTATTGTAAGTTAATCGTTAAATCACTTTAAATAATGTAACATTTTGAAATTTGTATTGCTTGTAATTTAATATACATGCATTACTATCTTATTGAGTGACTGCTTATCGGGAGCAACTATATTATTAAAAATGTTTAAAATATTTAAATACTTCTACTTATTTCTATTTAAGTAATTTAAAAATAAGTTTTTATTTTAATTACATAATATTCATAATATAATTCATAATAATCATAATAAAATAATGAATTAGGCAGAATGCAAATAAGAGTTTGAAAAATTTTTGCAGAGTAATTTAGGATTTAAAATGGTCCCGAGAAATTTATTACCTCTGGAATAAAGTACTTGCTGTATTGATCTACGAAACACGTAGTTTTATCGGTGTACTGTGAAATTGTTTCGTTACTCCACCATTCTTTGAGATTTCCGGTACTGTCAAAACGTCTACCGCTATTGTCAAAGCCATGAGTTAACTCGTGTCCCAATATTGTTCCAAGTGCACCGTAATTTAAAGACCTAATATATGGTTTAATATTTATGCACATTTTAAATCTATAAGATTTCACGAATTACAATTCTTCATACTGTTTAAGCATCGCTCGTTAAGAAGCATATTTTTTTTAAATTATATTCTTATAATAAACATAATTATATATTAGAATTTTTGTACTTACTCAAGGCCTAATTCATAAAATGGAAACTGTAGAATCCCAGCGGGAATTGCTGTATATACACACATACACACACACATACACACACATATATATATATATATATAAGCAATTGAAGTAATGATAGGTAGGTAATTACTTGGGGTGCAAAAATTTCGTATTTATATCTTTTAGTATTTTTGCATAGTTAAATTGCATACATGTTTTAATAATAAAGGGAAGTTTTTTCTGTTTTTACGAATATAAATGGTAAGTTGGTTTAAGAATTACCTATTTGATTTTCTTGAAATGTATGAACAGCGTTGACTTCAGTAGGTTCTAGTGGCCAACTATAATGACAAAATAATTTAATTATTTATTTTTTACATTATAAATTACATTTATTATAAGATAAATAGAAGAATTTTGAATATTTATCGATGAAATACTAATATTTATCAATAAATTAATAATTATTTATAATATTAATCTATAACTATGTGCAAGAATTAAATTTTTCTTTAATTTTATTAAAATAAATTAATATACAAATTTTGAAATATCTAATACTTCATAAATATATTTATGGATTTTTGTTATATACATAAATTTAGAATTTTTAAGCATATTGTCGTTTTACATACTATGGTTCATCATCCGTTTCATTATTTGCCAAATATCTCAATTGATTTAAATTTTGTATGCGAATTATTTGTAGCATATTCTCAAAATAGCCATCCGACATATTAATCTGTAAATGAATAGTAAAGATTTTATTATGGGTATATATTATTGTATAATATTTGTTTCAAGTGGTTTTGTCCGTTTTCCATCTATTCACACATTGTCTAAATAATGAAAATAATTTTGTATTAAATACTTTCAATTTTGTATCAAATAATGGACTAAAAATTTGTTTAATTTAAATTTATACTATGATTTTTTAATAAATTGATTAATTTTATAATATAGAAGATCGATATTTAAATGCCAAGTATTAATTGTATATATATATATATATATATATATAGAATTCGTCAAATACCCCTTTATAAAAAATATCTAGTTCTCCTGTCTGAAATAGCCATTTAGGAAAGCCAATAAGAGATTTCATTTTTCTATTTTTTTCTAAAGTTTTTATTTTGGTTTGATCGTCCATCCAATCAACTCCTAATACGAACTTCGAAAATGATAATTTAATGTTCTCTAACATTTCACTAACTTGATCTATTGAACCATCACTTGTAAAAGACGGATTTACATATAGCCAAGAAACTGCCATACCTAAAAGTGTAATTTAATAAATTATATATAATTTATATTTGCGAACATTAGATATAAACTTTATGTTTAAATATAAAATTATATATGTAATATTTTTATATAATAATATTGAGTATGAATGTGTAAATTTTATATTAATCAATAAATATGTACATTAGATAGTTCATTTATAATAATACTATAATTATAATATAATATAATATAATAATAATAATAATAATAATAATAATAATAATAATAATAATAATAATAATAATAATTTATAAATATTTAAGATAAATTTTAATTACAAAAATTTCTTATAAATTTTTAAAATTCGGTTTACAGAAAATCATTAGTAATGTTTGTAAATATCATAATATATATTGGTTTTCTTATCATGTATTTGTTACATTCAGTACGAATCATACATAATATTATAATACTTTACAAAAGATAATTTATAATAGAAAAACTTGTAATATAATAAATAAAATAAGAAGGGGTTTTACCAAAGATGAATTTTATAAATATTATTTTAATACATATTTGTACTTTATTTTACTTTATAATTGCAAATTTGTATTTAAATTACTTGTATTTACGAATACAATAACATTTCTTATTTGATATATATTAATTTTTGTTTTAATATTAAACATATTTATATATAAGTAGATTAAGTTATATTTAGAAATATTATTCTTTTTTTAAGTTTAAAAATATAATATTATATGTAGAATACAAATTAACGATAAATTTAATTATTTATATACCCATGAGATCGTTTACATTTTCAGCACATATAATTGGCCATGAATGATCTAATTTTGCACCTGTCAATTCTAAAGTGTACGTATCCCAAATCCTTCTTAAATTTTCTGAAGAATAAGGCACACTATAATCCACTACAGTCCACCAAATTGCAGTTTCTAATACGAAACAAATTTTGTTTTAAAATATCATATACGTTTATATAATTTAAAATATCATTAATATTATATTAAATTATAAATGGATTAATGAACCAATCACCTAATAGATTATCACCAGTTGAAGATAAAATAACTGCAACTTCTTTTAAATAATTTATATCTGATATTAAGATTTTTTCTTTTGGATCGAAATCTATTATTTCTTTTAATAATTCTTGAATAAATGGTTTCCAAATTATTTTTGGCTCTAATGATTCATTTATCGATTTAACATATTCGTCGGTTATTTGTTGTAAATCTTCAATTAACATGTAATCACTGTCTTGAATATCATTATCGTCATCCATTGTTTGATTTCTATGTAGATTTGATAACTTAAAATATAAATTGTTAAATGTTTATACATTTATTTTACATTATTTGTTTTATTTAGTACTATAAGTCATAAAAAATTATTTTTCCAATTCGAAGGTTTGGCTTATATTAAAAAGGAATTTATTATTATTTGTTATATTTGTAAATGTCACAAATTTTACCCTATAAGTGCAAAAATATTTTTTTTAGAATATTGTTTAAAAAAATATATTATTTTTTAATAGCGTGTTTGATAATTTTTATTTTAAATAAGCTTTAATTTTATTTTTTTTAAAGTAATCTTTTTATGTAAGAATATATTTATTTATAAAACACTTAAGTACATATAATAAGTCAATTTTTTATTAAAGATGTATTTATAATTTATGCAAGTCTTATATAAAATTGAGAGTTTAATGGTAAAATTTATCATATTTTTATATTTGCCCTCGTAGATATAATACTTAATTTGAATCACCATTATTTTTTCTTGATAATACAAAAAATGTATTAAAGTATTTTTCAAATTATTGTAAAGACTCAATAAATTATAATTCATTACTTTTAAATACAATTTTATTTTACGTATTTATAGTTATCCAAACATAATGCTCATAATTAACTGGATTAGGCATTAAATAATAAAAATATATCAAGTAATAATTAATTAATTTGTTATTCATAATATTTTAATGAATATTTTTAAAGTTTCAAAATCTGTATATTTTAATGAAAATGAATAGATTGTATATTATTTACAGAGGCAACGCTAATTTTCATGGACAAAACTTAAAACTTCACTAATATCGTAGCGAGAAAATAATAACTGTAAGCATTTTTTATATTTATCTAATCTTTAGTATGAATTTTATTATAAAAATTCCTTAACTTTTAAATACAAAGTTTTGCTTATTCATATAGTATTTAGTCAGATGAATATTTATATAAAAATTTAATGTAATTTATATAAAAATTATTTAGCATTAAAAATTCCTTACAGTATAAAATACTTCACTTAATTTGTATACTTCATTGACAGTATTTTGTATGTCCTCTTCAGAAATAATAGAAAATGGTTTTCTCGATTTACAAGATCGTTGATCAGTTGTACCATTGCTTATAACTTGTTTAAAAACTTCAGTCATATAGATTTTTTCAGCAGATAAAAATGCTTTTATTTCCTCGTTTATTTCATCCACTTCTTCCATAATCAAGCGAGTTTTTGTTTTAATAATTTGTAGTCGTTTTTCTAATATTTTATCACTAATAAAAATTTTTATTAGATATAAACAATGTATATATGTGTGTGTTTCTGTATTTGTGCATAATATATATATATATATATATATATATATATGTGTGTGTGTGTTTCTGTACTTGTGCATAATATATACATATATATTTTTTTCTGAATGTTTGTTTATTATCATGAATAATTAAAGATTACCTAGGAAAAGGATTAGCTCTGTCAGGAAGATCAAGAACAATGACATTCTTACGATTGTCTTTAGGATCATTGGAAATATAAGTTCCAAAAAAAATGTCTGCCCATAGAACTCGTTTAACTTTAGCCATTTGTACTATAAAATTTGTTGTATTTTTGGTGATTGTTGCAGGAATTTGTGGTAAATCCAATTCATTTAAAAGATCAAATAACGGACTTAGTCCTAATTCGTTTCGTGTCTCTAATTATTTAAATAATTAAAATTAAATTTAATTATAAGGAATTATATGTATTCACAGAGCGAGAGAGAGAGAGAGAGAGAGCGAGAGACAAACAGACAGACAGACAGACAGACAGAGGGACAAATAAAAAGAGAAAGAGAGAAAAAGTAATAAAACCATTTGTTTAACAACGTTTAAATTTGTCATTTAACAACTATTGTTATTATTGAATATTTAACAACTAATTAGATAATATTTATAAAGTTTAAAAATTAGGTGGTTTTTATTATAATTACAAAAGGTATAATCTCAAGAATTGGATATATTTAATAACTTACCTATATTTATACAACTCACAAATAACGTTTTAGCTTCATAAATAGCCGAAGGAAAATCTTCATTCGTTAAATTTTTTAATAATAAATCTCGTATCTTTGTTGAAACTCTCATACTTCTTTCTTTGAACCAACTATATTCCTGACTTGGATCTAATGAAGGATGAGATGTTGGCCATCTTCCACAGGCGTATCTATAAAGAATATAAACATAATTAACTTCTAATATCTACATAAATTTCTTTTCTAACATTCCTCCTTACTTATAAAAGTCGTCACATGGATCGATAGAAGTATCCATCGATTCTTTTAAACTTGCCGCTAAATAAAATAAAAACATTGCTATTTTTTTTACAAAATCTAACTTTACATTAACAAGGTAAATTGCTGTAGTTGATTTATTCATACCTATACGCAGACAGTTTTCATTCTCGCAATAATTTATTCGTTGATTAAACTTGGCATCTAAGTAAAGTTTATCATGTATATAAACTTTATAGTATGCTATATTCATCTATAATATTTTATTTAATTTTTATACTTACATAGGGCAGCGAATACTACAATCGCTACAGATAAAACAGTAATGATAAATGTTAGTATAAATATGATCGGCTCTTTCTTTCTATATTTTTTGAAACTAGAGTCACAATAAAGTTTTAATCAATTAGTTTAAGAATACAAGAAGAAATGCGTTCCAAAAATTCATTTTATTATAATAATTATTTCGGTTGTTTGAATAAATTCCGAAAGTTTATTTATATTTTTTTTCAATTTCAATCAATTTCAATTAAATTCTGAAAGTTTATTTGTATATTTGGCTATTTAAATTATTTGTATTAATTATTTAGTTTTATTGATCATTGAAATTCCAATATCGTTAATTTTTAGTGTGAATTTATGTACATATTCTCAATTGGTTTTTACAAAGTTATTCACGCAGAAATACTAACTAAAATTGGAATATTTGGTAAATTTGAGGTCGATAATTAACAAAATGGTTAATAAAAAGATTTTGCATAATAATACGAAGTTTCTGAGACCATTTCCTCATTCATTAAAAAATTTCAGAGGTATTTACTTACAAAGATCTTTTTGATTTGATTGCAATTATATTATTTTCGCTGTTTATGAAATATGCTGCTTGTGAGTCAACTGCTAAAGTATTAATTTTTGATTATATTAAAATAATAATATTTATACAAACATACATGATATCTATGTGTATATATAGTAAAAAAAAATTTTTAAATAAAATATTAAAGTAAAATAAAAGTATTTTTAGTTACATACTAATAACGCAAATGGATTCATACAAAATTCTAGACGATAAATATTTTAAATATAAATAAGAAAATTAAAACTTATATTTTACATTAAATAAAGAAATTATTCGATTTTATCTGGCAAAACAGTTTACGTTTAAAAGAATTATTTATTTGTTATGTATATTATTTTATAATTAAGTAAGAAAATAAAACGTTAATACAAAGACCGCTACTCACATTGTTTATTGTTATTCATGCTGCACAGCTGAATGACCAGATCGAACTAACTGCTGTACTTTTTGTGTAGGTCTTACTATCCAACTTTAGCATACAGCTATGTTAATTGCAAGTTTTCACTAGGCATATCGATCAAAGATTAAATCTTGATAGATATAGTATATTACCATTATTGTCTCATATTGTCGTACCTCATATCATTCGTGTAGTTATATTTTTCATTATAACTTGTCTAAGTCAATTTTGATGCAACCTAATTATTCATATAAGAATAATAGTAAAAGAAAATTTTTTTTTAATTTTAACGTTTTGTTTTTATTATAAAAGGTTGAATCACTGTAACTATATAGTTTATATAATAACATTCGATCAATATACTAAAATATATCAATATACTTATATAATAAAATATCAATATCATTATAAAATAATATCAATATACAGTATAATAAATATTGTTGATAGGTATATTATCGTATAGGTATAGGTATATAAATCGTACAAAGAGTTATCAGAATTATATATTTATTATAAATATAGTTTATGAAAAATACATTAATTTTAAAAGATCTAGTTACATTTTTATTCTTGATAGAATAATTTATTTCAAGAACAAGAAATATCCAATTTTAGATGGTTACAAAGATGACTATTATTTTCATTAATTCCATAAAAATATTTATTTATAAATATATAATTCTGATAACTCTTTGTACGATTTATCAACTATCACTTCACTTCTAATGTTTGACCAATGCTAAACTTCATAAATAATTTTAATTTAGTTTTATTTTGCTATTACTTATTTATGTTATAAGAGTACTTTATTTAAAATACAAAAAAAATATACAAAAGTGCTAGGAAATTTATGAACAATTTACAGCAGGTGATGACTTTCAAAATTGAAGCTTTAGCTACTTACGTTTATTATTGAACGTCTGACCGGAATCGACTTCTTTCTACTTCCAGATGCTTACGCAAACTTGTTTTAATAACCTTGTATATATTACTTTTTCTAAAACTTTTATAAATTAATAAAACTATGTAATATAAAACTTTTTTAAATTTATTTTTACTAGAGATTAATATCTTTTATTTTACAGAAAAACTTTTTTTGTGTGAAAGGAGAATATTTTTTTTTATATTTTATTATTATTCCATCAATTTGAATTATTTCTTTATTTGTAATATATTTTAAAATGATGCTTTATAAATATATCTATTATGAATTGTATTTTGTTACTGAACTTTTCTTTCTTATTTATAACAATAAAAACTATTTACACGATTTATCTTCAGATAATATGATATATGATGATATGTAACGTGTAAAATGTAATAAATTATCTATGATTCTTCTCATATTCTTAATTATAAATTTTTTTATAAAAATCACGATACTTGTGATGGTAGTGTTCAGTTCAATTAATGTTTTATAATTGCAAACATTCAAAATATTGTAGTTCTAAGAATTAAAAAAAAAATTTTTCCAGTAGCAGAAAGATTCTGTCATTATGTTAAATACATTTATAAAATATAATAATAAATTAATCCTATCCATTATCTTATTAATATCTTTAAATTTAAAGATTAAGAAAAATAATAAAATGTATAAATATGCTGTTTTTTTTTTAATATTCTCGTTGAATAAAATAATATAATTTTTACAAAATTTTAAAACTACACGATGTCTATTACCCTACACATTATAGATTTCGATTGAAAAAGATATAATACAGAAGGAAAAACTGGTTCAGTACGAAAACGAAAAAAATTAGAGTGATAATAAGTGGAAGAAACGTTGTATAGGAGTGGGGAAAAAGCAGCTTTAGTTTTAACGTTACAGGTTTTGTAAGAATCGATGAGTGTTTGAACAGTACGTTACCTTGACAACATTAAATTGATTTGCAAGGAATAAGTGTCTGTATATTTGTTCATCTCAATCGATGTATATGCTTCTATTTGCGTTAAAACACTACCTTTACGAGCTCCTAGGACATGGAGTTTTTTTCTAAATATACACAATAGGAAAAAAAGTTTCACTTTCAAATTTGTTGACTATAAGTTGAGTAGATAATATATACTCAATTTAGTTGATTCCAATAACGGAGCTATTAAGTCTTGACACGACAGTGGCTTATCTTCTAAAGATTAATTAACTGTACAATGTTTATTTGTTTCTGTAAAAGTTGCTAGATCGGTAAAAGGATTTTAAAATCTATATAATATGAATATGATGAATATAATATACAATTATAAGACTACTTATTCTGTGAAATAATAAAGCATTAAAAATAATTCTATAAATATAGTAATAGTACAATAGCTTTAACATTTAGTTTTACACTTTAAAAAATATATTTAACATAAATTCTGATTATTTAAGATTACTTAATATTACAGAAGTTCTATTTTTAACTTAAATCTTTTATATGTTTATATATTTCATGTGCTATATCAATTTCTTTATTAAAATAATAAAAATTATATAAGAGTTAATGTATATAATTTTAGAAAAAAAGTTTAACATTTATTTTATTTGCATTTAGAAGAAATAAATTTTAAATTAATTAAATTGAAATACAAAATATTAATTTAACTTTTTAAAGATATCGATAATAATAGTAGTTTGAATAATACTTGTATCATTTAATAAAAGTCTTTTTACAAATTCGGTGTTAATATTTTAAAATTATTTGGTTTTAATATATAAAAGATTTAAATGACTAATTATTAATTTAACTATTCATTATTATATTAAAAGAAGCTATATTGCTATTTTTAGAGATTAAATGTAAAATATTTCAAAAATATGATATATGCTTATTTTATAATTCCATCATTTTATCAAATCATATGTATTATTTATATTTGTAAAAATTATTGTGATTCTTGATTTTTTATATATTTAATTTTGTTTTTAAATTATTCATTTTTGTAAAAGTGAATTTCTGCTTTATTATTATTTTGCACTGTATTAATATAGAAGTGGAAGGTGAAATAGTATTGAATAAAACGCTCATATTCCTGTTATATCACAAGACGTAAAAATATACTTTTATTAGAAAATAAATAAAAGTGTATCAAAGTTTTAAAAGAATTTTTCAATACAAGGAATGGGCTCGTAATGTAAAAAATACAAATATTTTGTTTTTTGTTGTATATAATATACAAGGCCCAAATTTTCACATAATAAATTCATCGAAACGAAGCATTTATGTACGGGCCCCAACAGGGGGTGGAGTTCAACGTATTGGTGTCTATGTGAAGGAAAAACACATTTTTCTTTATATTCAATAATGTTGTGTTGTCGTCCCCTCCAACAATCCATGATGTTTGTAGTTTTTATTTTGAATTTTCATTTATGTTTCTTGGTAGAATTTCAATAGCCATGGAGAATCAAGTGATTCGAGTTAGTGATAACTATATGTCGGCTTAAGTTGATTTCTGGAGATGCTATTCCTTAGAAGTTGGTTGGTGGATGATTCGTTGATCCTCCAGGGCTGCTTGGTTGATGGATGGGGTGGTTGAATTTTTGCGTCATTACGGGTGATATGATTTACCAGGAGGATCCGTGAGCAGGCTTGATCTCAGCTTTGGGCTCATGGTACACTTCGTAGCCGATAAGATGTGGGTGGGGGATCTTAGGGTGATCGTAGTGGAGCTTCACAGATTCACTGTGAACCTTCAAATGCAGAGGCTTGGGGTGAATCGCCGGGATTGGGTGTGGCTGCGGCACCTGGATTACATGATGAACTTCAGGCTCATGATGCTGAAATTAATGGTTATTGTGGGTTAGAGCATGCTATGGATTTTAAATGTAGTATTAGTTTGGTTTATGTGATGTTCCAAGTGATTATTTGGTCCACTCATCATTTGTAGTTAATCATATTTACAATTTCGACAGTTAATTTCTTAAATTTTAATTGTTTTAATTTTTAATAAATTAATAATTATTATAAAATCATTACATTATAGATTGAAATTAATTTAATATGAATAAATGATTATAAAATTTGGTGGAAAAATGATTGGAAATATAAAAGCTTACGTTGAATATAAAGCAAAATTTGTTTAATGTACAAGTAGTGTTTTTAGTAATTGAAAATCTTATTCTTAAATCAATGTATTTATACAAATAAATCATATATAAGTATTTTAAATACATTACACACTAATATCATCCATAATTTTTAATCTATAACGTTAAAATACGATTTACTTATTGTGCCTTTTAAGATAAGTCTATATTATATTGAACTTCGATATAGTTTAAGGTATTTATAAATGCAATAGATGATTGGAAAAGTTAATATATGATTTCCTTTTTATATTTACACTGTTATTATATATATTTTCAATACTGCTGTAAAGATGAAAATGATTAATAATAGTGACGACGACGATGATTTGTAAAAATTTCACATATGATAAATAATAATCAAAATTTTATTTTATGTTGAAATCCTTCTGGAACCTTACGACAATTGAATTAAAATCGGGTTGAAGACAGAAAGAATCCCGAAAAGAGAGGTCAAGAAGCTTATTCCTGGCAGTATCCTGCTATGTCTGGAGCTATTTCACAAGTTTAAATGATACAATAATACATTACATGAATTTGAGTCGGTTGTTGCCATGGATTCCAATCACTCTTGATTACGCTCTTCTGTGTGCTTTGCCAAGGATTCCAGGCATTATTATTTTGTTGCCAAGGATTCCAAGCATTACTATTCTGTTGCCAAGGATTCCAGGCATTTTTATTCTGTTGCCATGGATCTTGCCAGCCCTGATTCTGCCATGGATCTTGTGTTACCTGATTGTCCATTCAATAATAATCCTTTATAAATTTTACTTTTACTGCTGTTGTTTGAAAAAACAACTGCAGCTATCTTCGATATTACGGAGAATGGCGACTTCGATACAAAGATAGCGAGGAGGATTTTTGGAAACTCTCGTTTAAAATAGTATTAATTCAGTTATAAGATCATTTTTGGCAATACTCGTTGAAAAACTTAATTTGAAACCGATCATTATTAAGGCACATACATGATTTGATAATTAAAAATTTTTTATCCATAATAAAACCTCGTTACAAAAATATCTAAGTTTTTAAAATATACTTGTCGATTAATGATAGAATCTTACAAATTCGATCGATTATTTATAATTGTCAACAGTGCTATTTACAATTACTTTCAATTACTTTTATTTATTTCAGAAAATGAAAAATAGAAATTCTCAGTATTCAAATTTGAAAATTTCTTTAAATTTTTTATTGTATTAACGCGGAAATTAAATTTTAATAAATTTCAAACCTGGTAGCATTTTATTTAAAAATATCTTTTTAAATAGAAAGTTTTTAGAATTTTTATTATAAAGGAATTCAAAGCTTCTTTGCATCTAATCGAACTCTTCCGTCACAAATATACGAATCAGGTTAGAAAATGAAAGTAGAAACCTAATACATCCAGGATATAAGACACATAAGAAAATTGGGGCGCAATCTCGTGCACGGAGTCCAGTAGCCGAGTGAAAAATTGCGCCCAGTGGTTAATTTTATATATAGTCAGAATATCTTTCTCCTTCGTGGAACACTGTAATTTACTTTGTGTTATGTGTTGAGAGAAGATGTAATGTAGGAAAGATCCAGCGAGAATCGTGAGTTGATTCTCGTAGAAATAGATATGCAATTAAACCATGTTGTGTTTCTAGAAACATGTAAATGGAAATTTTATTTAGGTGAATAGCAAAAAGAATAAGGTAATATTACAGCTTCGTCTATTTCATTGGCTGATCAGTAGATCTTCTTTGTATCTTTATCGGTCGCAGTTTCATGTGCGGAGAAGACCAATTAGGAAGATATAGTTAAGAGTGCTTTAAAGTAATATAATTGTTAAACTGTATTTTTATTTATTCTTTATAATTGTATTATACAGAAGCTTATATTATAATATAAAGTGAAGATATTATTTGAAATTTTTTACAGATTTTAAAGTTATTATTTTATGAAAAATTTGTAACTGGAATAAAAGAAATATTAAAATCATAATGATATTTTTCATATAATTTCTTTATTCAAAGCTATATAACAAAACTAATTGGATAAGACAAATATATAATCACTTTATGGCACTTTTTAAATTTAGAATAAGAAGAAAAAGCAAATCGTTAGAAATAATCAAACACTAATCGTTTGAAAGTTTGGTTTAGACGTTCTCATATTTTTATGGATAATGCACAATTTATTATAATTATAGATTGCGTAACAATTTTAAATGCACATGCTGCAAGGAGAAATGATATGTTAAACGTAAAGTGGTAAAAATGGTAAATATGAAAACTGCGATTGATAGTAATGATTTAGATGATGTTTTTTATGAAATTGTAATTACCTCGTAGCCCGGGAATGCATTGACAGCAACCAAAACTGCGAAAAGAACAATCTGAAAAGAAAAATTTTAATTTTGTAATTACTAATTTTAAATAATAATCAATTTTTTTCCTATCCATTATTTAATATAATTTTTTCTCTCTTTCTTTCTTTCTCTCTCTCTCTCTCTCTCACACACACACACACACACGCATACACACACACACCCACATATACACATAAACACGCACACAATATATATATATATATATATATTACTTATAATTTAAATTTAAGTTTAATTTATAATTTATATATCTTCAGATACACGAGTTCACATGGAACTGTATAAGGAAAATAAAATAATATGATTGAGATTACAGTTTAGATAAAAAGTGCTTTAAATAAATTTGAATTCCTAAAAGATTTCTGAAAATTTACCGTTAGTGAGGTTAAAACAGTTTTCCATTAGGATCTTTTCATTATAGTGTTATTTAATATTATAAAAAAGGGGTGATATAGGATTTAAATTTCAATTTCAATTAGTTTGAATTATTAATAATAATTTTGGATAAAAGAAATAGATAGATGACAAATAAACGAAATTATGTAGTAAGGGTCACACGAAGTACTTTTCAAAATAATGTTAAAGTACTCGTGCCTCACTGCAGACGGGCGGAGCGGCGGTTAAGAAAAAGCACAAAGTCTCGAGTCGTAGACCGCTTATTACACAAGTTTCACAGAGGTGTCCGTAATTTTTGTTAGATGCGACTCAAAGAGACTTACGATTAGCTTCATGATGCTTGAGAGACGGTTGCGTCGGTCGGCAAGTGAAAAAGAACGTGCGTTTTTCTTGTGCGATACGCAACGAGAAACTACATGCCTATCGGAGCAGTGGAGTTAGCTTTTATAGATGGATTGAGCAGCCACTGCCCCCAGACCCGCCTCAATCAGAGACCTAGAAAATCCGGAGGCGGGGGCCTGTTACTAGCGAAGCGCGACCGCCTAGACCCCTTTCACCGTTGCCGCCGTGGCCGCCGTTGTACCGCTGCCACCGCCGCCGTCGCCTTCGTCATAACCGCGACCCTTTCGTCGAGGTCTCGAGACAGGAGGTGAGTCTCTCTGACTGCCCCTCGATACTTTAGTCTTTGTCGGCTCTGCAGCTTTGACTCAAGTCACTCTTGGCCCAAGCTCTTTCGAACGCCAGAAGGTAAAGTTTTTCAGGCTTCCTCGGGGCCTCTTAGGAATACTTGCCAATTAGTTTCCTTCTACATCGTACAGCGCCTATCTTTGCCACGAGAAGTGCGAATCTTTCCTCAAATATACATTTTTGCTATTTTCTTAAAACCCTCGATCTTCATATTACGACTTTTATTAAATCTTTTTTTAATTCATTTTTATTTTCTATTTATTTATATTCTACTATTATAACTATTATTTCTATTATAATATTTATTTCAATCGATGTTCCACAATCAAATCATAATTTTATCTTTAAACAACTTGAAAAACTTCGGTAAAGTTATCTACATAAATTTTATTTCTATTATAAAATAATACCATTTAGTGAAAAAAGGATCGTTTTTATTTTCCTTTTATGCTATCACTTTCAATATCGAAACACTGTTTAGATATCATATATAAAAATAAATAAGTCAAATGCAATAATTCATTGTTTTATTAAAATTGCAACTTTATATATTATGGTAAATTAAAAATTTTTACTTATATTCGATTTCAATGTTTCTAAATAATCAGAAAAATTTTTTGGATTTTTTTCAGTCATTAGACAAATCTCTTATTAAGTATATAATAATATAAGATACGTTATTTGTTGAAAATATATATTATTTAATAGAAACAAAAATTCAATTTTAATGAAATATAAATAGTTCAAAAATATATTGTGAGTTCAATTTTTATTTATTTAAAACCAATATTAACACCGTTTGTCGATTTTTTATTACAAAAATTATGCAAATTATGAATTAATAATAAAAAATGTTTTATATATGAACAAAATGATTTTAAATATCATATGGCCTATATCTTGATATAATTCTACTTGTACTTTACAAATTATATTACGTACATTTTTATTTAAATTACATAAAATAATTAGATGATATTAAATTGAAAAAATAATTTTTACAAAAATATTCTCAATAATAAATATGCAATAATAATTAAATCCTATATCGTAATGGTACTTTTGCGATTTTGCTTTCACATAAATATTTAATGCTATAAATTTTAAAATATATAAATAATTTTAATTTCATCTTTCCATTTATAAGAATATAAATATAACAATATTTATAATTTAAGAGACATGTTTTTACAGAAATTCTGAAATTCATCCAAATAAATAACATAATCAATAAACATGTAATTAAATTTAGAGATTCGAAAAATTTAGATGTAAAAATTTTTAATATATAGCATATTAGAAACTAAATTTCTTCATAAAAATACATTACCGAAAACAATTTTATTAATTCTATGGCATCAAATCTATTTATTCAACTATTAATTCAAATTTTGTCAATCACTTTTTCTTTAATAATACTATTAATAATGCTAAATAATAAATGATAATTATATATTTTTTTCAACAAAAATTCGTGAACAATATATTAATTATTAAATTCTATTATTTTAATATTGATATTAACATTCCTAGTTAATGTAATATAAAAATAACAATCATTCGTATATTTTTAACTTGCATGTTTATTTTAATGTGATTGAACTCTTTTTTATTTATTTAAGAAATCTTTTAAATGAAAATGTATCTGAAAAGAACGTTAACGAAGGAAAGTAACCGATTTAAATAATTGTTTGATTTTTTTTATGACGATTCATTTGATATTTTAACATTTTTTAAAATGTTTTTATTTTTAATTTTTAACTTTATGTATGCTGTCGTCTGGTTTAGACATTTATATATATATATATACAGCATTTGAAAATTATGAAAATATCCATTTACTCGGTGTATGATTTTATGTTTATTCTGAATAAACGATATATTAACTAATTTAAACGTTTTTAATAAAGTATAAAAAAGTCAGAGTGACAACGAAGTCAAGTCACAATGAAAATTTGTTTAATATTTATATTTTAGAATTACTACATAACTCTAATAAACAATAGATTTTTACGTACAATATTGACAGATATAATATATGATAAGGTAATAAATATATTGTAGAAGATGTATTTGAATTCGTAAATAATTCATAAACATTATCTATGAATTTATTAATACAGAATTTTTAGGAAGTATTTTATATAATAAAATTCATTTAATTATTATATAATACTAAAATTAGATGCTTTAATTTATAAAATATTAATATTTTCATTGTTATCAAATTTTATGATATTTTTGAGTGTATAGTTTTCCACTTTTCAAAACTATATAGTTTCTTTAGTTTTATTAATACATAAAACGATCAAATTAAAAT